TTTTTTTTTTTTTTTTTTTTTTTTTTTACATCCAATTCTCTCGCTTCCAGTCACGATCACGTTGCTGATTACTACCGGGAACATCATTTTACAGAGAGAGAGAGAGAGAGAGAGAGAGAGAGAGAGAGAAAGAGAGAGAAAGTCGTTCATCCACGTGGGACGGATTTAGAAACGGGAGTAGATCGATTCCAAGGCACGTAATCTCCTCTTAGAAACTCCCTGTGCCGCGAGAACGTGGCGCGAGCTTTTCTTCGAGCTGAGCTAGAAAACGTTCGAGCATCCTTACAAGCCTCGACAAGGGATTCCCGTGAGCAGCTTGGGCTTTGCACGACAGGACGATTGCAGATGCTGCATTGTCGTTGTTCTCGCGGCAACACCTTTGTTCCACAAATCCTCGCTGAATTTCTGCTCTGCTGTTTCGCTGGATTTGGCGGAGTGAATGGTAGTGGCGGAGGAGGAGGAAGAGGAGGAGCAGGAGGTGAAAGAAAGGATGGAATTGGAGGAACATGCTGGTGCATCGGATGCGTTTGAAGAACCGATTGCTCGCGGAGTTGAAAATCGGCTAGCAAACGATAAGAAGGTGGAACGTTGTTGCAATTTATCCTAGCTAGAACGTTACTTTGCCGGATGTTCAATTTCTTCTGGTTCCCAGGCTTGTAAACTCCTGCCGATTCCTTCCGAGCTCGAACGGCCTCTCTTCTGGCCAGAGTGTGCTGAAGAGTACCACGAAATCTGTCGTAGACGTCAGCTGAGCTGAACCTTGTGCGAACGTCGCCCCTTGGACGAATGGACCTCGGATCGCCATTCGAAATATCTGCTCCACCGCTCTCTCTGTGCTGTGTACTTTTGTCGCGACGCTCTCGAATTTCGCCAAACTTTTCCAACACCTTTACACGCCTGCCAGAGTTCTGGTTTGTAATTATACTTTCGCTCGACGGTTGGCTAAATGTCGCCTTTGTCCCGGAGGATTTCGAAGGGACCACCTCCGGCAGAAGTTCTTCGTTTTCTAAGGTTAATACAAATGGAGGAGGCGGCGGTGGTAAATTTGCCGACGAGCTGTTCGATAATAACGGAAAGACTGACGATCGATCTTTCTTCAAAGCCGACTCAGACCTCGTTGCATATTCTGAAAGAAGCCCCGTTTCCTCTTCCGGCTTTACCTCCTCCATCCCTACCAGTCGACGCGCGCTTCGCTGTTTTTTACTTCGAGAGTTGCCGCAGAGGAAACTAGGTCTAACGACTGGTAGGCTTTTCGACTTAACCGACGAGATTCTCGAGCGAATCTTCGTTAAAACTTTCGCGTTGTTCTTCC